AGATAAGACTTTTTTTTACTTTTTTTTTCTGACCTCCGGAACGGATTAATTGGTTTTCAATGTATTTACAAATTTTTTTTTGCAATACGAACGGATTAATTGGTTTTCAATGCATTTACAAATTTTTTTTTGGAATACGAACGGATTAATTGGTTTTCAATGCATTTACAATTTTTTTTTTTCGCAAAACGAACGGATTAATTGGTTTTCAATGCAATTACAACATTTTTTTTTCTTCATGTCCCTGTACAGTATTTATGCCTTTAAAGTGCACTTTATAAAAAGTTTTGAGCAGAAAGACTTTTTTTTACTTTTTTTCTGACCTCCGAAGGATTAATTGGTTTTCAATGCATTTACAAATTTTTCCTTAATCATGTCCCTGTACAGTATTTATGCCTTTAAAGTGCACTTAATAAAGAGTTTTGAACAGATAAAATACTTTTTTCTAACTTTTTTTCTGACCTCTGGAACAGATTAATTGGATTTCAATACATTCCTATGGGAAACCGCAAATTGAAAACTCCAGCAGAACGCATTAAATTCGTAAACTAAGGTACGCCTGTACAACTTTATAGATCAGACCAAAATGAGGGACAAATGAGGAGGAAAGAAGGACTTTCAGGGACAGTCCCTCGAAATCAGGGACAGTCCCTCGAAATCAGGAACAGTCCCTTGAAATCAGGGACAGTCCCTCGAAATCAGGAACAGTCCCTTGAAATCAGGGACAGTTCCTCTAAATCAGGGAAAGGTGGGAGCTATGCTATCAAACACCTCTGCATTCTTCAAAAGATCGAAAAAAAATTTGAAGACGACGCTCTCATCTTCCGTCCAGATTCGAGGCACCATCTTTGCGGAAAATCTTTCTCATTCCCAAATACTCCTGTAGCATCTGCTGCACTGTTTATGTTCAATTCTCCCGGCGTTATTCGCACACTGAATCTTCAATCTCACACACTGCACATTTCCATCCGTGCTTTGCGTTTTTTGGCTGCCCACTTCTTGGGTCATCATGGACATCTTCCCGCCTACGCCATTCAGAAATACTGGATGTCTTCAAGGAATGGTCACCATAAGCCCGTTTGTAACACAGATAAAATTTCACTCCCAATTTTGCCAATTTTCAAACAAAATTTGATGTTAATCCGCTGCTCCAGATTCCCGTCACTCATTTTCCTCCAACAGCGCAACACACACACACGAGTTATTTCTTCTACTACTCCGTAAAGACCGAGTCCACTGGTCTGCGACCCAAGAGCGTGCGAGTTCGAAGAGGTCAGAAAATGCTGTAGTGTGAATGGCTGTGTGAGCCACCACCATAGGACTACAAGTTTTCCAGGAATTAAATTGTCACACCACGTATATACTCTTTCTGTCTATAAAATTATGTTTGAAGGTCACTTTCTTGGTACTTTCTTAGGTACCTTAGATGGTCAAATGTTACCTCACGTGCCTCTAACTGTAGGTATGAGCTGCCACTAAAGTTAACCTGTTGCCTTATATGGGCAAAGCCCGGGTCAGCTGGTACAGTGGCGCGATCACACGCATGTGAAAGCCTTTTTTACGGTCAGGAGTGTCGCAAGGGGCGTGACCAGAAGAGCAGGGTGTAGCTTTCCCTCATAGTTGTTGCTCCAGTAGGAGGCCTACAGAGATACAGGGCGATCCCGGGGCCACCTATGCTGTGCTTGATCGGCTTCAAGATCCATTCTGTCCATGTGTACAGATGACGGGATGGAAATCCCAGAATGCCACCTCCCTGTTCCAGGCTTCTCCATTGTTCAGAAGTTACTCACTTGTAATGCCTTGCGTTTCTTCCATGGTTGCAGGCTTTGGTTCCGATTTTACCATGCACTTGGGGCCCATGAGACACAGGTGTAAGCAGGAAGAAGTTGGGAGAAGAAGTGTTTCTCCCAGAGAGGAGGATGGTTTCATTTTCTTCCTGGCAGGATCCCTTAAATACCCAAAGAAGGAGCCATTGGAAGAGGAGCCATGAGGGAGAACATCATATAAGGGACTGAGACTTCAATCTTACTCTCCTCCAGAGTTGGGCACATAGGGCACACCACCACACTAAAGGAGAACTTCATTGTATGATTGGGTGAGATGTTTTCTTGGAGACTGTATTACTTGACCACGAGGACATCTTTATTGCGTTGATGGAACTGTGACGGTTGCACCAAAATTGCCATGGACTGAGCCTATGGCCACTTCCAGTATCAGACATGGATTTCAGTAACCTTGCTGGCAAAGTACCCTGCCATGCCGAGTTAGGCAGAATATCCCTTAGCAACTCCCACTCGGTGAAGAGAATTCCGGTGTAACCAATGGTAATGCAAAACCTGGTCTAGCCAAGGGCAAGTGGCGGAGAGGCGCCGAAACCCATGGAACATACGCGCGTTTGATAGAATGTGGGATTGCCATGGACTAAGCCAATGGCCACTTCCAGTATCAGACATGGATTCCAGTAACCTTGCTGGCAAAGTACCCTTCTATGCCGAGTTAGACAGAGTATCCCTTAGCAACTCCCACTCGGTGAAGAGAATTCCGGTGTAACCAATGGTAACGCAAAACCTGGTCTAGCTAAGGGCGAGTGGCGGAGAGGCGCCGAAACCCATGGAACATAAGCGCATTCCATAGATGTGTGGGATTGCCATGGAGAATTAATAGCACTCATGCAAGTCTGCAAAAGGCAGTGCATTTTTGTGCAGCGTGGGATTAGCTGTCACTTTCCCCAGAGCTAAAGGAAACTTTGTTTCTTTTATCTCGGGAAAGAAACTAAAAAGAAACTTTGTTTCTGTTATCTGGGGAAAGAAACTAAAAGGACACTTTGTTTCTTTTATCTCGGAAAAGAAAAACTAAAAGGAAACTTTGTTTCTTTTAGCTGGGAGGAAAGTGACAGCTGATTCTCTGAGCTATAGTGAAGAAAAAAAAAGCCGGTAATTACATTAAAAAACCGGCACCAACATATAGTGACAGCGACTTTTTAAAAACTTTTTTCTGATCCGGAACAGATTAATTGGTTTTCAATGCATTCCTATGGGAAGCCGTGTTTCTGTTTATGAATTTTCGCAATACGAAACGTCCCGGAGAATGCATTAGATTCGTAAACCGAGGTACGCCTGTATATGTAAAGTGCTGTGTGAATTGACAGCGCTATATAAGTACCTGTAATCATAATAATAATAATATAAAACAAATTGTATCTTAATAATATAGTATCAAGATAGCCATATAATTAATTGATGTGAATGTACAAAAATATATATGTAAGGCGCTGCGTAAATTGACGGCGCGATATAAGTACCTGTAATCATAATGATAATAACAATAATAATAATATAAAATAAATTGTATCTTAATAATATAGTATCAAGATAGCCATATAATAAATGAATGTGAATGTACAAAATATATATGTAAAGTGCTGCATAAATTGACGGTGCTCTATAAGTACCTGATATAAATTAATAAAATAAAATCATATAATAAAAGTAATGATAAATTGCTATAGTATAGTAACCACAGGCATATAATAATATCAGCAAAAATATTTGTAGATTGTGGCAACCAGACTAAAGTATGTAATATTATTACCTAATCCCATTTACAGTATAATCCCCCCCCCCCTTACTTCCTCCTACCCCCCTTCGTGCGGTTCAGGAGTCACTTCCTCTCTTTGCGCACCAGAGGCAGGAAGTCACGTGGCTTATCCATGATCAGCTTCCGGGTGAGAGGTGAACTGGGAGTACAGAAGACATCAATGTTACTGGCAGCAGGTAACTATTTAATTGCATGTATGTTTTGTATTTATTGTATGTATCCTATTGCATTTTAATTAAAAGAATAATATTTAATGTAATATGACAGTATATATTTATCATATATTAATTATTTTACATATATATTTGTTACAGTATGTATTATTTATGTAGATTGTAGCCTACGATAGAATGTCCTGGGACTGTTGGCGGCTCGTAGAGTCCTTCATTATAAAACGGGATAAGGACGGGGAAGAGTAGCGCAGCACAATATTGTAGACCACCATCATCTGGTTGTTATAATACCGGAAGCGGAGAGGACCATGATATTTGTTCTTTATGACATAGGACTGCAGAACAGTATTGTACCCTGGAGTCCAGTCATTCTAAAACCACCAGGGGTTCTCCAAGGAACTCTGATTTGCTGACCATAGTCCTCAGACACAGACATAGCCCAATGGAATTTGCAGACAAGAGCATTGTCTCTGTAAAAATGTCCACGGTACCAACAACTGTCATTTATTTTCTTTCCACGGACTTCAACTTTTGAATAGAAAAAATACCACGACAGCCTCAATGATGATGGGCAACGGCAAGGGTCACCTGCGGGAGAAACTGTTGAACCTCACCCTGGAGATCATCTACCTGCTGACCGGAGAGGTGAGGAGGATTCTGGGAGGTCACATGACATCACTCATCTTTATTAATAAAACACAGACCTGACCGGAGAGGTGAGGAGGATTCTGGGAGGTCACATGACATAACTCTCATCTCTAGTAATAAAACACAGACCTGACTGGAGAGGTGAGGAGGACTCTGGGAGGTCAGATGACATCACGCTTATCTTTTTTAATAAAACACAGACCTGACCATAGAGGTGAGGAGGATTCTGGGAAGTCACATGACATCACTCTCATCTCTATTAATAAAACACAGACCTGACCGGAGAGGTGAGGAGGATTCTGGGAGGTCAGATGACATCATTTTTACTGTATTTATACAGAGTTATCCACCAGTGACATGTGGGGACCATTTTACGATCAAAGTACTTCCATCTCATTCCCTGACACTCAAGAGAAACAAGAAGCAGAAGATTCTAGAGGTGACCAATACGATAACTAAGCTGCTGACAGGAGAGGTGAGTGGTGCTGGGAATTCTGGGACATTCTCCAGTAACAGACAAGGGATGTGTCTGGATGGTGACTGTATCATTGTGTGTGTCAGGTTCCTATAAGGTGTCAGGATGTCACTGTCTATTTCTCCATGGAGGAGTGGGAGTATTTAGAAGGACACAAGGATCTCTACAAGGACGTCATGATGGACAATCAGCCGCCCCTCACATCACCGGGTAAGAGGAGACTTTATTGTAAAGGAGAAAGCAGTATGGAGGGTCCACCTAGATCCCCCAGCATCTGATAGCCACATAGAAACAATGGATGCAGTCAGTGTGTGTGTTTCCTACAGATGGATCCAGTAATGGGAACCCACCAGAGAGATGTCCCCGTCCTCTGTATTCCTGGGATTCCACACAGGAAAATCACTCCATCCCTCACCATCATCAGGAAGATGGATCCAGTAATGGGAACCCACCAGAAAGATGTCCCCATCCTCTGTATTCTCGGGATTCCACACAGGAAGATCACACCATCCCCCACCATCATCAGGTAGATGGGACTGAGGTACCTCAACAAATATTAAAGTAGCTCCACAGTTAAAACTAAAAATTCAAAATACTATAATGTTATGGGTTTTTTCTTTATTTAGAATAAAGGTTTGATTGCTATTAAAGTTGAAGTTATGGATGAAGAGGAACAAAATACATTGTATGATCAACAGCATGCCTGGAAAGATGAGAAAGAAGGTTTGAGTGCAGTAAAGGTGGAGGAGGAGGAGGAAGAAATTGCCCACACAGGTAAATTAGAAACACTAAATACAAGTGATGGAGAGGAGATATGACCTTCTTTGGATTTGGGAACTGGATGTGGCCTGGATGGGTATGAGGTCCATAAAATATCTGGGGTCCTGCAATGATAGCAAATGGTGGGATAATTTGTGTATTAGGGCAAAAAGATGTTCATGGATGATGAAAATAAAGGCTTCAAAAGCATATTTTTGTAAGACATATTTTTTTTTTGCAGACGGAGATAACTGTAAAAGAACCCCAAGGAAACATAGAGATTGTAGTACAAAAGGTTCTACAGAGGAACCGTCTCAAAATGGTGAACCTGACTACCGGAATGTTGAGGCAGCCAAAACACCCTTTAAATGTCCTGACTGCGGGAAATATTTTTTGAAACGATCGGAATTTATCAAGCACGAGAGAGTTCACACTGGAGAGAAACCATTTCGGTGTCTGGAGTGTGGGAAGTGTTACACAAATCGGTCGGTCCTCGTCAAACACCAGAAACTCCACACAGGGGAAAAGCCATTCTCATGCTTGGATTGCAGCAAATGTTTCACCCAGAAGGCCCATCTTGTTCGCCATCAGATGCTTCACACTGGTGAGAAGCCTCTCACGTGTCCAGACTGCGGGAAAAGATTTTCGCGTAAATCGAATTTGATCGACCATCAAAGAATTCACACGGGAGAAAAGCCTTTCCCCTGTCCTGAGTGCAATAAAAGTTTCACCCAGAAGTCCATCCTGTTCCGTCACCAAAGGACTCATCGAGATGAGAAGATTGTCATCTGCTCAGAGTGTGGGAAATATTTCACCCATAAGGCCTTTGTGATACACCAGAGCATTCACTGAGTGGAGGAGCCATTTCCTTGTTATCAGTGCAGCCAGTGCTTTACCCAGAAATCCGATCTCGGGAAAAGTTTTGGTTGTCCCATGCAGTGGGGCTGTGCCCGCACTGCTTGGGTTAACTGCTCATCTTGTCCAGGGGTGAATGCAGAACTTACTCACCCAATTCTCTGGAAAATGGCACTCCCCCACATCCAGCAGTGGATTGTTCCTGCTGTCCTCACGTCCAGAGCCAGTCTATGGGCCTGATGACGTCAGAAACAGTCCACCACACAAGACCGCCAGACCGCGGGAGGGCAGGAACAGCAGGGACTGGTTTTGCGCTGGAGGATTGGCAGATTAGGTAAATATATCTCTGCTCTCCTCACCACTAGGAAAAATGAGCAGTTGATCCATGCAGTGTGGGCACAGACCCACTGCCAGGGACCAAAAAGAAAAATTTCCCCACAGTTCTGCTTTAAGAACATTTTCCATCGAAACCCCCATCTAATGAGACATTTTATCAATCTCAATGGTGAAAAAAAAATCCAACCAACATCAGAAAAGAAACAAGGGTATGGAAAATCTAAAAATACTGTAAAGGCAGCTAATGTATAAGTAAATAATGTGCAGGTACATCGATGATACTTGTAGGCTGTAAGTGAAATAAATCTCCAAGGATATGGAAGTATATTTATGCCAATGCTGTAATAGGAAGACAGGAGATAGAGAAGAACACTAGAACATTATTGTATGTACTGTATGTATAGAATATTTCTATAACACTACAAGCTTACAAAAACCTTTGCTAAATAAAAAAAAATAAAGTTTTTTGCCTCTTGTTTTCTTATGATATATCTCTGCTCGATAGATCCTATTTTAGTTGCAAAAAATAAGATTTTGGTAATCACTGTAAAATCCTTTTCTTGGAGTCTGTTGTGGGGCACGGGAATTCAAATATTGTTGGGTTATGTTGCCACCTTCCAAGAAGATTGGACACTGGCAAACAAAAATAGTATTGGTCATCCTCAGGATAATCCCTTTCCTACCCAGCATGCCTTAGTTTGTAAAAAGCAGTACCAAGTGCAAAAAAATATAAATTATACCCAGAAAGGTGTAGCCTGTGTCCCCTAATAAACGCCAAGAAAAAGATTTTCCATTGAGTACAAAAATTTTATTTTCTTGCTCGTCTATTGAAGGGAACAGGAGTTCAGATACTGTTGGGACATCCAAATGCAGTCAAACTGAGGGGTGGGCAGTGACCCTGAAACTGCTACAGAATTCAAGGGTTCAATGCCACAAAATCAATGTGACTGAAGGCGTAGGGTGCATGGGAGACACCTCCACAAGGGTAGGCAAGAACAGTAATATAGGAACTATGAGGAGGAACTTAGGATGACAGCCATGATTTCTACCTATCATATAGGAGCTGATATGCAGCCACGTGTGTGAGTATCTTCTCTTGGAGCAGTGGCTACTGGTTAAGAAGAGGCAGCTTCCAAGGCAAAGGGAAATGGTATGAGCGAGGTTTATACTCTCAGCATTGTTCAGTGCAAGAATCAGACAACCTCCCCTGTTGCATGGGGTACTCCAGTTGCTTCCTGATGGCAAGGCTCAGCAACACCTAGTTGTTGTCTGCCCAAAACAGGATCATCCAAATGTGGAGGGAACTACCTGTTTGGATGAACCAGATGGTAGACTTGGGATTGAGGTTCTATAACAATTTTATATACACTGGATACAGGGAGAATAAACTATATCAATGGCCTGAAGAGGCTAAAGGATCATGGAAGGGACTACCTAGTCCACAGGAACAGGCCTTTGGACCTGTTCAGAACCCAAACCAAAGGCAAAAGACAGGAGGGCTGAAATGGGCTGAGAAAATGTGGGAGAAGAGAAAGCCACCCAAAGGGGGGCCCAATGCCTTACACATCCCTTTAAGGGAGGAGAAGGAATTAACTCCCTATCTGGTTACAAGGCCTTTAAGGGTACACAAGTAGTCCTTTTCAGCAAAGGCCTAACCTGATCAACCACTCCCAGAAGTCACAGACTATAGAGGGTACAGTGTGGATAATAATTATTTAATCCCCTGCAGATTTTGTACGTTTGCCCACTTAGATATGAAGGGTCTATAATTTTTATAATAGGTGTATTTTAAATGTGAAAGACAGAATATCAACCAAGAATCCAGAAAAAATCGGTACAAATGTTATAAATGGAGTTGCAGTTCATTGAGCAAGATAAGTATTTGATCCCCAAGCAAAACATGACTTAGTACTTGGTGAAGAAACCCTTGTTGGCAAGCACAGAGGTAAGACGTTTCTTGTATTTTGGTCCACTTGTCTTTACAGATCTTCTCTAAATCCTTAAGGTTTCTTGGCTGTTACTTGGCAACTCGAAGTTTCAGCGTCCTCCATACATTTTCTATAGGATTAAGGTCTGGAGACTGGCTAGGCCACTCCATGACTGTAATGTGCTTCTTCTTGAGACACTCCTTTGTTTCCTTGGCAGTATGTTTTGGGTTATTATGCTGGATGACCCATCCATGACCCATCTTCAGTGTTCTGGCTGAGGAAAGAAGGTTTTCATCCAAGATTTTAGAATACATGGCCCCTTCCATTGGCTCCTCAGAATGGCAAAGTCGGCCTGTACCTTTAGCAAAGAAACAGCCCCAAAGTATAATGTTTCCACCTCCGTGCTTGACTGTAGGGATGGTGTTCTAAGGGTCATAGTCAGCATTTTTCCTGCTCCAAACATGGTGAGTCGAGCTCAATTTTGGTCTCATCTGACCACAGCACTTTCTCCCAATCCTTCTGTGAATCATCTAGATGGCAAACTTCAGACGGGCCTGTACATGTGCCTTCTTGAGGAGGGGGACCTTACAGGCACTGCAGGATTTCAACCCATGGCAGCATATTGTGTTACCAATCGTTTGTTTGGTGACTGTGGTCCCAACTGCCTTGAGATTATTCACAAGCTCCTCCCGTGTAGTTGTGGGATGAACTTTTCTCATGATCACCCTTACCCCATGAGGCGAAATCTTGCATGGAGCTCCAGACTGAGGGCAATTGATGGTTACAGTATCTGTTATCAAAAAGGGCCTTCAAGGCAGGGTACCTCAAAGGTTGACAGTCTAGAGATCTGCAGGGATTTTAGATTGAATAGATCTAATAGAATAATGTTGAATGTGAAGGTAGCTAAACAGGAATTTAGGAGGAAGGTTTGCAGTTCCTGAAATAAAAGAAGAGAGAAGAAGAGAGAAGAAGGAGAGAAGAAGAAGAGAGAAGAAGACGAGAGAAGAGGAAGAGAGAAGAAGAAGAGAGAAGAAGAGGATAGAAGAAGGAGAGAGAAGAAAAAGAGAGAATAGAGAAGAAGAAGAAGAGAGAAAAAGAAGAAGAAGAGAGAAGAAGAAGAAGAGAAGAAGAAAAAAGAGAGAAGAAGAGAGAGATGAGAAGAAGAAGAAGAAGAAGAAAAGATCCATGATACAATTTGCTCCTGCAGGGAAAAAAAATCCTTCCTGATCCCCCGAGAGGCAATCGGATATTCCCTGGATCAACTTTAACAAACATTAAATAATTAATTATATAAATTATAATGAAAATATAATACATTGTAATAAAAAAAATTATAATAAATTATATAAATAATAAAAATAATCAATTATAATAAAAACAATTATATAAAATAATTTATACAATATAAAATAAGTATGTAAATAATACATTTGTGGCTATACAGTATTGATATTTTATAATAACTAGACAAATAGTAGTAGCATTATTATTATTATTATTATTAATAATAGCATTATAATATATTTGTATCTGAAAAAGTATTAACAAGACTGTGATATCATTAAATAATAATATTAAATTAGAAAGTTATAGTATATAGTTATAGTTTTAGCAACATAATATTTGTAGATAGTGAAAACAAGACTAAAGGGTGTAATAAGAGGTTATATAAAATATATTGCCTGCTTCAATCCATAGCAAAAAAATTCCCCCACCCCCCATACTCCTTTCTGATTCCCCCCTGACCCAGAATTTCCTTTCTGTGCGTTTCAGCAGTAACTTCCTGTTTGTGCGCACCAGAGACAGGAAGTCATGTATTTTATCCATGATCAACTTCTGGGTGAGAGGTGAACTGGGACGGAGTAAAGAAGACATCAATGTTACTGGCAGCAGGTAACTATTTTATTGTAGGCATGTATTGTATTTATTCTATGTGTTTTATTGAATTTCAACATCATGAATAGCTTTTAAAATAATACTAGAATATATATATAGGATATATTTTTTTTTTTTGTTATAGTATGTATTATAAATGTAGTCTGTGATAGAACGTGCTGGGACTGTTGGGGCTCGAAAAGTCCTTCATTATAATAACACGAGAGAAGGATGGGGGGGAACCGCACAGTACGATATTGTAAATTGCCATTGTCTGGATGTTTTCTGGAAGTGGAGAGGACCATGACGTTTGTTCCTTATGATGTAGGAGATAGGGATGAGGATGCACCCCGTAGTCCCTTCATTATACCCAGAGTTCACAAAAGGAACTTTGTTTTGGTGACCATAATTCTCTGACACAGATGAGTTCAGACCGGAGCATTGTCTCCTCTTGTGGCCCCTCTGTAAAAATGTCTGCAATGCCAACAACTGTCAACAACTGTTTTATTTCTATGGCACTCAACTTCTGAATAGAAAAAAATACCACGGAGATCACATGGCAGCCTCGGCGATGACAGATAATATCAAAGGTCACTTGCATGAGACGCTATTGAACCTCACCCTGGAGATCATCTACCTGCTGACCGGAGAGGTGAGGAGGATTCTGGGAGGTCACATGACGTCACACTTATCTTTATTAATAAAATACAGACCTGACCAGAGAGGTGAGGAGGATTCTGGGAGGTTTCATGACATCACTTTTCTTTATTAATATAACACAGACCTAACTGGAGAGGTGAGGAGGATTCTGGGAGGTCACATGACATCACTCTCATCTCTATTAATAAAACACAGACCTGACCGGAGAGGTGAGGAGGATTCTGGGAGGTCACATGACATCACTCTCATCTCTATTAATAAAACACAGACCTGACCGGAGAGGTGAGGAGGATTCTGGGAGGTCACGTGACATCACTCTCATCTCTATTAATAAAACACAGACCTGACCAGAGAGGTACGGAGGATTCTGGGAGGTTACATGACATAACTTTTCATTATTAATAAAACACAGACCTGACTGGAGAGGTGAGGAGGATTCTGGAAGGTCACATGACATCCCTCTCATCTTTATTAATAAAACACAGAGCTTACTGGAGAGGTGAGGAGGATTCTGGGAGGTCACATGACATCAATCTCATCTTTATTAATAAAACACAGATCTGACCGGAGGGTTCTGGGAAGGTTCCATGACCTTTTTTCCTGTATTTATAGAGTTATCCGCCAGTGATATCTAGTGGCCAAATGGCCATTAAGGTAGTTCCACCTCACTTCTTGATATCTGAGCAGAAGATTCTAGACGTCACCAAGAAGATGATGGAGCTGCTGACAGGAGAGGTGAGCGGTGCCGGAAATTCTGGGCCATTCTCCAGTAACAGACAAGGGATGTGTCTGGATGGTGACTGTATCATTGTGTGTGTCAGGTTCCTATAAGGTGTCAGGATGTCACTGTCTATTTCTCCATGGAGGAGTGGGAGTATTTAGAAGGACACAAGGATCTCTACAAGGACGTCATGATGGACAATCAGCCGCCCCTCACAGCACCAGGTAAGAGGAGACTTTATTGTAAAGGAGAGAGCAGTATGGAGGGTCCACCTAGATCCCCCATCATCTGATAAACACATAGAAACAATGGATTCAGTCAGTGTGTGTGTTTTCTACAGATGGATCCAGTCATGGAAACCCACCAGAGAGATGTCCCCGTCCTCTGTATTCCCGGGATTCCACACAGGAAGATCACACCATCCCTCACCATCATCAGGTAGATGGATCCAGTAATGGGAACCCACCAGAGAGATGTCCCCGTCCTCTGTATTCCCGGGATTCCACACAGGAAGATTACACCATCCCTCACCATCACCAGGTAGGTGGAACTGAGAAACCTCAACAGATCCTAAAGTGACTCCACACTGTATGATCTTTGGAGAACCTCAATGGAGCCTTTAATTGTATATTTTGTTTAATCTTACTTTATAAATACTATAATGATATTCTTTTTTTCTTCTTTTATTTAGGATAATGGTCTGATTGCTATTAAAGTTGAAGTTATCGACGAAGAGGAGCAAAATGCATTGTACGATCAACAGCATGCTGAGAAGGAAGAGAAGGAGGGCTTGAGTGCAATAAAGGTGGAGGAAGAAGAAATTGCTACGCAGGCCAACATAGGTAAACTAAATAGCACTTGTGACGGACTAGGATTGCAGACAGAGCATATTATTTTTTTTTTTTTTTATTTCAGGTACTTATATTTATGCAGTGCTTTACATATATATTGTACATTCACATCAGTCCCTAACCCTCAAGGGGCATACAATCTAAGGTTCCTAACTCACATTCATACATACACATACAAGGGCCAATTTAGACTGGAGCCAATTCACCTACCAACATGTCTTTGGAGTGTGGGAGGAAACCGGAGTGCCCGGAGGAAACCCACACAGGCACAGGGAGAACATGCAAACTCCAGGCAGGTGGTGCCATGGTTGGGATTCGAACCAACGACCCGAGTACTGCCAGGCGGAAGTGCTAACCATTTAGCCACTGTGCTGCCCATATGGAGGTGGATCACATGCGGGCGTTTATTTGGAGACTTGGGTGTACAGGAGGGGCGGCGTCAGGACATGGCACAGAGAGACAGTCCACAGAGTAGCAAGGGGCACAACACAGATAAATAGTTCACCGAGTAGCAGTGGTGAGAACACAAATGAACAGTTAATGGAGCAGGAATGGGCTCAACATGGATAAATAGTTTGTGGGTAGCTATATGGCACCACACAGGGGAGCAGGTCTGGGACAAGGGGTGGGCAGGAGGGGAGGCTGCCCTGGGCACTTTGAGGTGGGGGCACAACAAGGAAATAGGAAGAAGGGGATTTGTGTTGGTAGGGGGAATTTGGGGGGCAGAAGGGGGTAAGAATTATTCTAGGAGGGGAAATATTAATGTAATAGGAGTAGTAATGTGGGGGGATTTGTGTTGGGAGGGAGAATATGGGGGGCAGAAGGGGGTAAGAATTGTTCTAGGAGGGGAAATAGTAATGTAATAGGAGTAGTAATGTGGGGGGATTTGTGTTGGGAGGGGGAATTTGGGGGGCAGAAGGGGGTAAGAATTATTCTAGGAGGGGAAATATTAATGTAATAGGAGTAGTAAGTAATGTGGAGGGATTTGTGTTGGGAGGGGGAATTAATGTGGGGGCGGAAGGGGGTAAGAATTGTTCTAGGAGGGGAAATAAGAGTAGTAATGTGGAGGGATTTGTGTTGGGAGGGGGAATTTGTGGGGGCAGAAGGGGGTAAGAATTGTTCTAGGAAGGGAAATAAGTAATGTAATAGGAGCAGTAATGTAGGGGGATATTTGTGTTGGGAGGGGGAATTGGGGGGGCAGAAGGGGGTAAGTATTGTTCTAGGAGGGGAAATAGGAGTAGTAATGTGGGGGGGATTTGTGTTGGGAGGGGGAATGGGGGGGGGGGAATTGTTGGGGGACAGAAGGGGGTAAGAATTGTTCTAGGAGGGGAAATAGGAGTAATAATGTGGGGGGATTTGTGTTGGGAGGGGAAATATGGGGGGCAGAAGGGGATAAGAATTCTTCTAGGAGGGGAAATAGTAATGTAATAGGAGTAGTAATGTGGGAGGGATTTGTGTTGGGAGGGGGAATTTGGGGGGCAGAAGGGGGTAAGAATTGTTCTAGGAGGGGAAATAGTAATGTAATAGGAGCAGTAATGTGGGGGGATTTGTGTTGGGAGGGGGTATTTGGGGGGCAGAAGGGAGTAAGAATTGTTCTAGGAGGGGAAATAAGAGTAGTAATGTGGGGGGATTTGTGTTGGGAGGGGGAATTTGGGGGGCAGAAGGGGGTAAGAATTGTTCTAGGAGGGGAAATAGTAATGTAATAGGAGTAGTAATGTGGGGGGATTTGTGCTGGGCGGCAGGACGAGGGAAGAGGGAGTAGGGGTGGGGCAGAACTGTGCTCTGTGTGTCAATGGACACAGAGAGCACGGTTCAGGAGTGAGCCCGCACAAGTGCCCCCATAGAAAGCAGCTTGCTATGACTCGGCAGGGGGGTGAAGCCAAGAGTGCCAGCGGGGGACACGAGAAGGGAAGGATTGGGGCTGCTCTGTGCAAAACTATTGCACAGAGCAGGTTAGTAGAACATGTTTATTATTAAAAAAAAAAAAAATGTATCTTTTAGAAGCACTTGACGTGTCCACAGGGGAAAAATTGCCAGAGCATGGGGCAGGGATCCTCCAGAGGGTAGTATGACAGAAGTGTCCATGGAGAGGAAGTATGGTACAGCAAAAGGGAAACAGTCCACTGGGCAACATTAGGCACGGGAAGGGCCCGTGATCCTCCAGGAGCTAATATGGAACAAAAAGGGAGAGACAGGAAGTTTGAGGAACTCACGTTGAGGAGGCTGCTCGCCCCAAAGCTGCTGGTGAGGTGGTCTGAGTGATGGCCGGTGGTTCCTGCAGGGTCTGTAGAAGCAGGTCCCTAAGCAGGCATCTGCTGGGTCTGGAGTAAGAGGGAGAGAAATGCTAGGTACCCTGGCCACATATTAGGGGCAAGGAGAGCAGAGGGAACTGGCAGAGAGGCGATTGGACAATGGGAGGCTTAGGCAGCTCCTGGAGGCCTAACCTCAGTCTGGGATCCTCACAGGCACGTGGAGCATCCAGGGTGATCAACAGAAGGCTTCTGAATGGTTTTCCCTAGCCCACTGTGCCCACTAGACTCTAGCTCCTGGAAGGGAGAAAGTCTGTGGCTGGTGTAAGATCAAAACACTGGTTGCAGCAGGGGGTCTCACACATAGGATGTGTGGAGTGGTGAGGCATGCTCAAAGTAGGAGGGATTATATAGGGTTGGACCACATTTATTTGTTTGCCAGAGTTCAGTCTTCCTGTAGGCAGCAGTATAAATTGATAGTCTCTGAATTCCTCTGTCCTTCGAATGGACTCCAAGAAATAGGTTTATGGTAAGTCTAAAAATCAGATTTTATGTAAGATATGTTTTATTTTTGGTAGACAGACATAACGGCAAGAGAACCCTGAGAAAACATGGAGACTGCAGTACGGAAAGTAAGGACATCATAAGGGACTTCCCTGGAGAAAATACTCCTACCCACGATATTGATCTAGGACTTCATAGTGTGCAAAAATCTCCGGATCCCTCCAATGCAGAGGAATATTCTGAAAATGGTCAATCTGACCACCAGAATGTTCAGACAGCTAAAAAACGCTTTAAATGCCCTGACTGTGGGAAATGTTTTATCAAACGATCGGAATTTATCAAGCACGAGAGAGTTCACACTGGAGAGAAACCTTATCGGTGTCTGGAGTGCGCGGGAAATGTTACACCAATCAGTCGGTTCTTGTGAAACACCAAAAGCTCCACACAGGAGAAAAGCCATTCTCGTGCTCGGACTGCGGCAAACATTTCACCCAGAAGGCCCATCTACGTCGCCATCAGATGCTTCACACCGGCGAGAAGCCTCTTACATGTCCAGACTGCGGAAAAAGCTTCTCACGTAAGTCAAGTCTGATTGACCATCAAAGAACTCACACGGGAGAAAAGCCTTTCCCTTGCTCTGAGTGTGACAGAAGTTTCACCCAGAAGTCCAACCTGATTCGTCACCAAAGGATTCATCGAGATGAAAAAATTATCATCTGCTCAGAGTGTGGGAAATATTTCACCCATAAGGCCTTTGTGATACACCAGAGCATTCACCGAGGGGAGGAGCCATTTCCTTGTTATCAATGCGGCCAGTGCTTTACCCAGAAATCTGATCTTCTGGCCCACCAAAGACGTCATGCAGGAGAACACACTGGACTTTCCTGATACCAAAAATATTTTTTGAACAGCTTTTGACTTTGGTCGCTGAGGATTTCAGGGGCCATATCTTCAGCTAGAGAAGGTTTTCCACCAAAACCTCATCCAATGAGGAATTTTATTATTTCCAATGGTGGAAAAAATTCCAGCCAACATCAGAAAGTAAAAGAGGATATGGAAATTCTAAAACTATTGTAAAAGGCAGCTACCTTTTTTTAAGGAATATTCTATATATTCAGTACATTGACAACATATTTCAGTTATGACTAATGACTATCCAACTAAAAAACAACAAAATGTCATTGCTGCACTAACTTTTACTTTGTTCAGATATTTATACCAGCACTGTATCAGGAAGACTGCATTCAACTTTTATAAGACTTCGACCTGTTCCAAAATATCTGGGAGATACAACAGAAAACTAGAACATTATTGTATGTACTGTATGTATAGAATACTTATATAGCATTACAAGTGTACAAGAGCCTTGTCAAATTGTGTTTTGCCTCGTTTCTCTCTCTCTATATGTTCTTTGTCAAAAAACGGCTATTTTTGCTATTGCCCCCCGACTAGATACTTGTAATAAGCAATCATAAAAAAAATAGTTTTTCACTAGTTATTTAGGCTGAATTAAATATTTCAATTGTTTTAGAATTCATTTTAATGTTTCACCACAATATCTACACCATACACCATATATTCATGTTGGATACAGTATACAGCATGGGTCTTCAAACATTCTAGACAAAAGGCCAGTTTACTGCTCTTCAGACTTTGAGGGGGTCAGACTCTGACCAGTGTGAATAGAAAATGCCCAGGCATCTATGGGCATAATAATGCCACATCATTAGTACTAGGAGGAGGAATAGTGCCTCACTGTTGTTCCTCCGGGGGGGGGGGGGGGGGGGGGGGGGGGGGGGGGGGGGGGGGAATAGTGTCCCATCATTGGATCATTGGTA